CTAAAAAAATAATCTATCTGTTAGAATTCCTAACGATTTACATCATTACAATAAGTCCCATAAATAAAGTATATTTGAAGTGCGTCCAAAAATTGGAAGATTTCAACCAATTTCTTGCTTAAATACATCGGTAATCGAAGATACAATTTTATAGTAATGTCGGGTGTTCTTATGTAGATGGTTTAATTATGAACCTCTCGTTGTCGTTCAGGACAAAATCACCATCAGTGGTTACTTGGAGATCAGAAAACTTTACCAAAAGCATCCAATCGAGCTACAAATGATCTCCGTGACCACAGAGCCCAAGGGACAACTGCTTGAGGATGGTCGCGCACGGCCTTTTTGTGGGAGGTTTTTAATGTGTTAGCTCCGTTATCCACAGGGTTTTAACGCTGGAGACGGAAATCCGTGAGATATGACATTTTTAGGGTCGACCTTTTCTAACCCCTTCCTTCCTTGTGAGAAGGCAGCATCGCTGCAGATGCTGTTGTCACACCTCTCTACAGTCAGCAGTACGACTTCGCCCTCAGACCTTGAGTTGCTGCCTTTAGTCTTACCGTTCTCCAATCGACCTGCCTGGCATGGTAGAACCTACAGGAACATATGTTCCAGCCAATATAGCTCGGTCGGGTCATCACGATAGGCAAGCCCCACCACCTTGTCAAGGTAGGCGCTACGGTCGGGCAACAGTCCTAATATATTTATAGACGCTCTATGCTCACGGTTCTGAAGTGTAACCTGTTCAGAGAACCAAATAACACAAGCAATGGATGTTGCGAGCCAGAATGTCTTACACAACTAAGAAAATATAGTAAATAAGTGTGGATGACAATCCAAATAAAGGGTTAGGTAAAGGCCCTTTCGATCATTAATTGATTATATGTTTATGCTTTTGTTTTTGAATAATTCCAACCTATCTATCTTATTTTCAGCTGGCTCCTCAAATGATCACAGACATAACTAACTTTATAATTTAGCAAACATTCTTACGCTTTCATTCGTATGTAATACATGTTTAAGATTGAATTACTGATTCAGAGGTTCGATAATTGCTAGGAAATAGGGTATTTGTTTGTCTTGTATAAACACTTTGGCTGTTATGTTGTTACGTTCGTTATGAAGAAGACCAATGTTTCTTTTCTTGTTTTTAGAACATTCAGTGAAAGTACTCGGCTTTGGTTCAGGAGAATGAAACTGGTGCGCTATATCCACCTGTTTAGCCCTGAACTAACTTTAATTCTCTAAGGATGACGTTGCTAATGTACTCAGTCGATCATAGAGGTTTGCGAATACGGCACTGATAGTCGATTCTGGGATTTATTTTGTACTTCCTTACTTAGGCCACCTTGGACTCCTAGAGGAGCATATGCCACCCACCAGCATGCTACATTCAACCTTGTCCCGAGTATTCCTTTCAAGTCGCTATTCATTCTTTTTGTGTCTGCTTCCAATTATCGGCGCACTATGTTCTTCGACCCTCCCCTTTTTGTTTCCCCACAGGAATCCATGTTAGCGCTTGCCTTGTGATGCAGTTTCATGGTTTTCTCAATGTGTGTCCTATCCAAGACATGGACGTCCCATGATGTCTTCATATCCAATGTTGTCCATTACAACTTCAGTGTCTAGGTCTCCTATCAGGATGGTGAGATCCTTTCTTGGGCATTCCACTATGATCGATTGCAGCTTCGAGTAGAACTGATCTTCATCGTCGCCGTTGCTATCATTGGTGGGTGCGTAACATTGGATAACATTCATTGTGATTCCCTCCTTTGTTTTGAAGGATGCTTTGATGATCCTGGATCCGTGAGATTCCCATCCTATAAGTGCATTTCGTGCTTCTTTGAACAGCGTCAGGGCAACTCCCTGAGTGTGCAAAGCATTCTCCTCTTTGTGACCGAAGTACAGCAGCATTTCTCCCGTATCTAGCCTTTCCTGTTGAGCTTGGGTCCAATGGGTTTCGCTGACTTCTAGCACCATCAAGTCGTATCTCCTCATTTCCGTTGCTGTTTGACTAGTTCTCCCAGTCTCCCATATTGTCTGGACATCCCATGTACCTAAAAAAAAGAATCTCAGCTTGCACCATGAGGCGTCATAATTCTTCCTTCAACTCCCAGGGTAGAGTTTAAATTATTTATTCTGCTTAGAGTTTTTTAACAAGGCTTTTTTCTACGGGACGGGGTTACCAACCCCCTCCTTTTCCCGGACTTGGGACCGACAGTAGCGCTAGGAGAGCTACGGGCGGAGTTCGTGGCGTGCAATTGATTAATACACGCTGGATATCTTTGACCTTGATGTGGATCGATAAACTGGTAGATATCCAGTGAATCAGGTAGCGCTCAGAGACATTTCACTGATCCTACAACTCCATATCACCCGTCAATTTCGTAATTATCCTGAGTATTGGTTCAACACTGAAGTAGTGTTTCAAATAGCAAATTGATAGTAAATTTGGTTAGTGGGAGCGATAAAGTTCCAATCTTTAGATTTTCACGTAAACTACATCCCATTTTTGATTTACTATAAATTCATCTCTCTGATAATGCTATTATTCCACCATATGGTCCAGTAATTTACCATAGAAAAGGTTTTAACAAACAATTAGACTGTGAGTGAAGTAACGCTATTGCTTATTTATGACGATTTCTATGAATACCATGATAGCACTTAAAGTTCACTAACATCAATTGGTGACCTGTAACGTACGCCTTTTCCAGAAGCAACTAATCTTTATTTGAACCAGTCTCCTGTACTCATTCTATGGAGTAGGAATTACGGAGGTTTGTATTTCCATGAATAAGCAGTACGACTGAGGATACTTGATAATGCTAGGTACTATAAATTGTAATAATCTCACAGTTGAGTACCACTTCAAAATCCTGAACATCAGACATCTTCGTCGCAGTTCAGATTTTATCAATAGTATACATTTACTACGCGTGTAATCGCTACTACTGCTTAATCTTAAGAGTATTAAGTTAGCTTATTCAAGTTTGTATTCTTAGTTTCCGCCAATTGATTAGTTAACTATGAGATTGTATATTATCGTTCGTGGTTTTGAGTCGAGGATCTTCCACATCAGTAAAATTATCATTTTGGCCAGTTCAGTAATTCTAATGTCTTATCAAACTATCCGATAACACCATGATATCATTGAACATGAATAACGGAGCCGCTTCAAAATTACTTCGGTTGAAGATGAAGATCCATTTCATACAATATGCATAGAATTACATGTTGACCAATACCTTTTTTATTACTTCGGTCGCTAAAAAACTACGGACATCTGAAATTACTGACGAAAGCCTACATTTCTCTCTTTTTTTGTCATCGTATTTATGTTGAGAACAGAGTTTATTTCTAAGAACTTTCGTCTAAATTTGATCGAATAATTTCACAGTATTTGGGCGCCGAGTTAATTCTTTCTCTGAGATTTTACAAATACATTCTTCCTCTTTAGAGTTTATTTTTGTGCTTAATTATGCTAATAAGGTAAATGGCATAAAATGAAAAGTGACAGGTGAACTGGATCAATTTGCAAAATAATTAAGTAGTATTTTGTGGTAAGAAACTATTTCATTGAAAATGAAAACCTGCCGATAATAAGTGGTATTATTGTACAGAATACATTCATCTGCGTGTTTGAAAATGAAGATGATGGGAGTGAATTATTTATCTCGTGATTATTTATTTAGTATGCTTACCAAAAGTGTATTTATCAAACAATTGTCTTATGACGAAATTTTTAATCTCGTCGTGATTGTAAACCATTTTTGAACTAATTTATGATTCCATGAACAATATTCTGTCTGGTTAGGATGGGACATTGGTGGCTCCAGAAGTAATTCGATTATATATCGGACTAGTCAAAACAGTCATACTTCGAAGTATTCGAGTACAAACCGACCAAAAAGTTAGTTCTCATAATTTCAGCAGTCCGAAAACTGTCACTAATCGTACAGAGAAGCTTGAAATATGCATGATCAAGAAAATCCTGTTCAACCTTCTTATCTTATAAGGCTTTTTAAGAATTTTAGTAGATCACCTTTAAAGGGTTACTGCCAGTTTCAAACCTGGATAGAGGGTTGTACATACGGTCAGCAACCTCATCTCGTAGTAAACAAAACGAATCCATCTAAACCCTCCTTTGGGAATTAGAGGATCTTCATTTAGAAGAATTATGACGCCTTACGGTGAATGCCTAGATCCTTCGGAAGTCAGGAGACCAATGATTCTTCTGGTAACCTGATCAACAATTAATATAGGTACATAGAATGTTCAGAAAATGTGGGAGACTTGGAGGACCAGTCGAATAACCGTGGAAATGAGGATACCACGTGAAGGTTTTCGGAATAAGTGAAACCCATTGGACCCAAGCTGGACAGAAAATATTAGACTTGGCACCTTAGTGATCCATAATTTTTGAGTCGTCTCACTATACCTCCATAAAGTTAGCCGTTGGTTATTAGTACCTAATAGATATTAGTTTTAGAATTAAATGTTTGCACAAACTAGTTAACAATCGAACGATTATCATTATTATTAAGCATCAGTAGTAACATGTAGGTATGCATGGAACAGGTATAATTGCATCCGTAATCACAAATATATATGGTAGGTAATAACAAGCAAATCACTGTTGATCGATAAAGAAATAAAGTACAAGTATTTTTTCCACACAATGTGTACAGTCAAACAGAAAATAGTTTGACTGCGCTTAATTGTAAAAGGATTAGTAAGGATGTAAACAATGATAATAAAGAAATCAGATGAAATTATTGATCAGTCAATAAATCAATACATGATTATCAATATTAGTAGTAGTTGTTGTTGTGACACAAATAATTAACATTTTGAACCAGTCATTTATTGTGATTTAGAAAAAGAACGCAGAAACAAGAATGAGAATTCAAGTGAAAATATCAGTAGAGGAAATAATAGTACAAATAAACATAGAGTGAACTGCTATATATATATATATATATATATATATATATATATATATATATATATATATATATATATATTGGTAATTGAATGGCATTTCACAATTTTATTTAACATTCAACTGGTGGATCAGTAACATTCGTAGAATTACTTGTCTTTGAATGAACTTATTCTTTCCGAAAAAATACGATGTACATTACTATCACTAAATGAATTATGTTTCTTTTTTAATATATGTAAGCGTGTTATACTGATATCAAGGAGGGGGCTGTGTCGGCAAAATGTATCTCAATGGGAGGAGAACTATTCTTTTTCACAAGAAAAGATAAGGAGAATAATTTATTTCATAATAACTTGATAACACTGATAGTAGTAGGTGTTGTAATAGGCTCAAAATAGTAACGACAACATCAGCAGTGTAATCGTTTTCAGAAGAAAAAACGGAATAAAACACATAAAAAACTTTGCATAAGCACAGTGATCCTAAATACGCAAGATTTAAATGTTGATGGCAGCCAATAATCACATACTGCAAATAGGAAGAGTTGAGAGATCCCTGATAGCTTAATTCTTGACAAGACAAAGAATATGTAGTAAACGCTATGAATCGATTGTCTTTAGAAGGGAGAAAGGCGAAGAAAATCAAAGCTAATAAGTGTAGGAAGATTGAGTGCAATAAGAATTGGTACTGTATATGTTGTACAGAACAGCACAACTGTCAAACGACAATGATACTTTGGGGTTAGCATTTTAAAAGAAAAATGAAGGCAATAGAGATCAATAACTGTTTTCTTTTCTTAAAAAATCAACCCGAAAGAGACAATGAAGGAATAAGCAACCAGTATTTGAACACAAACAAAAGTAGTAGTAGTTCCAGTGGTGATGCGATACTACAATGGAAATAACAGTCACAGTTGCATAATCATGATTATCATCTTTAATAAAATGGATTTAAACTACTTGTCTGTTGTTGATGCATCATATTATTTCCAGAGCCATCAATAACGGACCATGCACTTGCAGTATTGATCGGCACCATATAATTGGGTTGTACTGTTGCGACCGAAGCACTAGCAGGATAATATGGTCGAACTTGATAGAACATTGGATTATTCATTGTGTTATGATAAATTGGACCTGACAGAGGTGCCGGTGCTGGTGCCAATTGATTCAGTGATGGTTTCAATGACTGATTAGGTATAAATGGATTACAAGCTGCACCAGTTACAGATTTCGAACCAACAGTGAATGGATTTGTAGAAGCTAATTGGGGAAGGAGAAAAAATATAATGCAAAGTAAAATTATGAATTCGACGACAATTGTAACTTACAACACCAAAGATTCGAAACGATCATGTTGGTTGATTAAAAGACGTATATAATATTCACTTTCAGTGCTACTTTCCTTGATCACTGCGTGATAAACTGCCATGAGATTTTTCATGAAATATGTAGCGAACTTTCACACTGGCTGGCAATAGAATAACACCAAACTCGCAATAAGTGCTTTCTAAATGTTTAATCTTTGTCAGAAAACAACGTTGAACCTAATTCATAGTATTCACACTAATTATTTAAGCAAATACACATGATGCTATGAAGATAATGATGACCAATTATTTGTTAACATTTTCAAACACATTAAGTTTTCTATTGTATGATCAAGTAGGTTACACAATCCGAAATTTTGTACTGTTGTTGTGAAGCAGAACAGGAATCGTTGTATAAGACATTTGGAATAAGTAGATAAGAGTATACTAACTGTTTTGTATTCAATGTTGGGAGGAGAACCAAGATAAACCTGCTGAGATTAAAAAGCGTCTAAACATATGAGCATAAAAATGAAACAAACCAAGTAGTCCTAATCCATATAACCCAAGCAAACAAAAAAACAAAGTAATCTGAAACTTAACACGCAAATCTTTTCCTGAAATACTATAAGGACTATCAGTCTCCGCATAGCCAAGGCTTCAATAAACCTTAGTATACACCCCTAAAGGCTTTTGTACAACACTACAAATGCTGACTTGTTATCAACTTTATGAACAGTCTCAACCAAATGTTTCGCAATGATAACTTTCGCCTTCTCATTGCACTATCAAAATTTACCAAAGGGACTGTTTTAAATTTCTGAAAAGAGTCTACACAAGTTATTAGAAGGTTATATGAACGAGTTAACCTCAAGTGCACAATTAAATTGGAACGAGTGAAACTGCACTTCTATAAACCTTGTTTGTCAAATCACATATTCCCGAACCAGCTAAGTAAGATTTTTCTTTCAAGTAAATTACAACTAAATATTACAAATCTTATTCAACAGACGAAATCCTAAATGATAAGTTGGTCAATTTAATTGAACTGTAAACTCAAAGATTACCTGTATGAACAGAAATGTTTATAGTTTGCCATATCAAATTAGTTTTTGAAAAACCAGATTAATAATCCATAAAATTGGTTAGATTTAAGGCAAAATACATCATTTGGAAATTGTAATATATGAATCAGGAATTGTTTGTTATATAAAATAAAATCGTCAATGTTGGGGCTGACTAATATGAAGTGTTAACTTGAATCAGTTTATAAGCGAAATTGTGAGATAAATTATCAGAATAAATATGGTCAACATGGGGTAAGAGAGAGAGAGAAAGAAAGAATGTTGTGATTACAAATCGGAAGTTGCGTAATATGTAAAATAATTAGGTCAAATATAGTAGATTCAGGGGTGGATATTGAATAAATTCCTCAAAAAGGGGTTATCAAATGTAAAGACAATAATAGTAATAATAATAATAATAAGTTTGGGACATAAAATGAACATTAATCAGATTACGTCACCACATTATAAGATTGATTATTAGCTAGTTGACCAGGGTAAAAGGAGTGGCTGAACATACTCCTTTGGATACAAAGCTCTGGCTTTTCGATCGGAATAGCAATTGCTTCAGCCGTCTGTAGGATTCGCAGTCTGACGGAATTAGGTAGACTGCTGTTGACACGATAGACTATTGCAAAAGATTGCTCCATGTTGGCTGTATGTCCTGTTTGGACTAAATGGTGTAAGATGGAGATGTTAACAGTTTTGACAAAACCTTTGCTTAACCACACGGGTAGGTGTTCACGAGCCCGAATGTACAAATTCCTAGAACATCTGCCAAGGTGTTGTCAGATCACTGAATATCCACCAGTTTATCGATCCACATCAAGGTCAAAGATATCCAGCGTGTATTAATCAATTGCACGCCACGAACTCCGCCCGTAGCTCTCCTAGCGCTACTGTCGGTCCCAAGTCCGGGAAAAGGAGGGGGTTGGTAACCCCGTCCCGTAGAAAAAAGCCTTGTTAAAAAACTCTAAGCAGAATAAATAATTTAAACTCTACCCTGGGAGTTGAAGGAAGAATTATGACGCCTCATGGTGCAAGCTGAGATTCTTTTTTTAGGTACATGGGATGTCCAGACAATATGGGAGACTGGGAGAACTAGTCAAACAGCAACGGAAATGAGGAGATACGACTTGATGGTGCTAGAAGTCAGCGAAACCCATTGGACCCAAGCTCAACAGGAAAGGCTAGATACGGGAGAAATGCTGCTGTACTTCGGTCACAAAGAGGAGAATGCTTTGCACACTCAGGGAGTTGCCCTGACGCTGTTCAAAGAAGCACGAAATGCACTTATAGGATGGGAATCTCACGGATCCAGGATCATCAAAGCATCCTTCAAAACAAAGGAGGGAATCACAATGAATGTTATCCAATGTTACGCACCCACCAATGATAGCAACGGCGACGATGAAGATCAGTTCTACTCGAAGCTGCAATCGATCATAGTGGAATGCCCAAGAAAGGATCTCACCATCCTGATAGGAGACCTAGACACTGAAGTTGTAATGGACAACATTGGATATGAAGACATCATGGGACGTCCATGTCTTGGATAGGACACACATTGAGAAAACCATGAAACTGCATCACAAGGCAAGCGCTAACATGGATTCCTGTGGGGAAACAAAAAGGGGAGGGTCGAAGAACATAGTGCGCCGATAATTGGAAGCAGACACAAAAAGAATGAATAGCGACTTGAAAGGAATACTCGGGACAAGGTTGAATGTAGCATGCTGGTGGGTGGCATATGCTCCTCTAGGAGTCCAAGGTGGCCTAAGTAAGGAAGTACAAAATAAATCCCAGAATCGACTATCAGTGCCGTATTCGCAAACCTCTATGATCGACTGAGTACATTAGCAACGTCATCCTTAGAGAATTAAAGTTAGTTCAGGGCTAAACAGGTGGATATAGCGCACCAGTTTCATTCTCCTGAACCAAAGCCGAGAAGCATATTAACTACTCAGCAATTCAAGTCATTAAAAGAATTACGAAATAATGCCAATAGTATTATACTTAAGCCTGATAAAGAACCTGGTGTTGCTATTATTAATAAGTCCGATTACAAAAAGAAAATGGAATCCATTTTTAGTGATAAAAGCAAATGTATGGCTGATGTTGACTCCGATGGGTCGTATGAATTAGAAGTACACTCGAATCTAATGAAATTGTTGAACAATAATGATATGTTGAAGATCTAACTAAAGACTCAATTCAAAAAATGTGTCTGTGTAAATGATAGTGTGATAACATAATCATAGGCGATGAACGTGAAGATGTGGACCGCTTGTTAAAAGAACTCAACACAAGGCAAAAGTATATTTGTCCTACATGCCAAGAATAACCAACTTACTTTTCTAAACACACTGGTTCCGTCAAACGTCCTGTGTATAGAAAGCCGACATGGACAGGGAAACATCTTAATTTCCATAGTCACTGCCCAATTGATTACAAACGTGGATTAATAAATGGCTTATTCAATAGAATCAATCATATTTGCACTAGCGATAATACTGAAGTAGAGACGAAGCTCTTGACTGAGACATTAATGAATAAAGGTTATTCGTTGAAGTTTATAAATCGATGGGTTCCAGTACGATTAGACCTATGACACTTCCGGCACCCAAAAAGCGGGTTTACATTATGTTACCGTTTAGAGGTGACTCAATTAGTCTCATGTTGAATCGGAGACTTAAATTAGCCATCAACAGGACACTTGATGCAGCTCAACTTGTAATTATTGAAAACACAAGGTCTATGTTTCGCCAAAAACCCAAACAGCACGTAAGTGATTGTGGCACATCCCATTCTGTCTATCAGTTTACATGTATATGCGGAAACACGTATTTAGGGAGGAGCGATCGTGATGGAACACATACCCAAACAGCTACAGAAACAACTGAATTCCAATGATCAAATAAGGTCACAGGATAGACATCCTCCTCCATTGCGAAACATTTGGTTGAGACTGGTCATAAGGTTTATATCAAGTCAGCATTTGTAGTGTTGTAAAAAATCCTTCAAGGGTGTATACTAAGGTTTACTGGAGGCTTGGCTATACGGAAACCCTATTTATGTGTTCAAAAACGATTTTTTTTCATACTAGAGGGACGTTAAAAGATAGCATGAACACTAAAAACACTGCTCACTTAGATGTAATCTACATCAATTTCTACACGTCAAAGCCCTTGAATTAATGGAGTCAAGCCGCACCTTGTTACCATGATGTGGCTAGTAGAGAGTGATAGTATTCATAGTATTTATAACGCAAAACTCTTTGTTACAACAAGGTGAAAGATATTTATTAGAGATGTTATTATTAACAAGTTATTTCTTCATTACATTTTCAAGAAACCTACTAGCAATTTCGATTGACAAGTGATTTGTTGCTTGACCCTGTTACATATTTTATGCATTTTCTGGACTTACACTAATTAAATTATTACGTTTACTGCAATATACTTTTAATAAGTATCGTATTATCAATTTAAATGACCACCGATAGGATAGATAATATGAACTAAGGGTAGTTGAAAACATCAATTCAATCTGTCATATTAATCTACATTACAATAACAGGAAACAAACACTAATTAAATAAAAATGAAATAATGGTTCTATAAGTAAATGGAGTTGATTAGGAAACCAAATGTAGGGACAACTTTCAAAAAAAGAAATACAAGATGTAGAACAATACAATATATCTGATCTACAAGAACTGTATTGTAGTCATACATACACTAATTGATGTTTGAAAACAGTAAACATACATAGCTTTTGAGAATACAGAAAAGGAGACAAGAATGATGACTATTTTAATGATCCTAGTAGAAACAGTCAGACACTTATTAGAATCTGACACATATGAATATATATTAAATTTGTCAAA